AGGAGCTAACATCTATCGCTGACAACTGTTTCTCAAATTATCTTGACCAACTTACCGTGTAATTCTCTCTTGCTCCAATGTCGCTCAAGGAACTTTGAAGTTTACTAGAAGCATCATCTGCGCATGATTCCCAAAAGAATTAGTTTGTATAAATCATCGTTGTAAATTTACACATCACATCTATTACGAATAAATCTCGTAATCGCTCCAACGATAACTTCATCACAGTATCATTTGCCTTATCACATTAAAATGAGTTTTCTCTCTTTTTTTTGAAATGAATAGATCACTGTCAGTTGTCTATGAAAAATGAAGCATCAGTCGTTCTCCCATTGCCACCCCGATCAAATTCTTTTGTTAGTGAACAAGACAAACTTCTATCGCTCGAGTGTTTTCTAATGGAATTTTAATGGTTTTTGCCTGGCGACACGTTACATCAAGCTACACTTTTATCGCCTGTATTATAAACATAACAAATATGACGAGAATGAATCAAAAATCAACACTTAATAGTACACATATAACGATAAAAATAATACGTAAACAATGAGAATTACTCGAAGCATACGTACCATTTGCCATAGAGATTAATCTCAGGGCACGTTAACAAATTTCCAGATACTTTCGATTTCAATAAACGTAAAACAAAACAACCGTAACAACAACAACAACAACAAGATGCCATAAAACTATAATAACAATATTCGTGATGAAAACGACACAACACTAATTACAACAACACAAATACAATTCCATTCATTCACTATCCTCATCATGAACCGATAACAGTTGTCTTTTACTTGCCGTATTCATATATGGCTTCAGCACCCACTCAGTTTCGGCAGCCTCAATGTTCTCCAGTGTCCCCAGTTTTATGCAATACGCTGAAAATTTGAAGGCAAAGTCAGCGAGGAACAACAATGCGAAACATTCACTACTCTTATAAATGTCACTGAAGAACCAGTGCACTGAAGACTCACATACTGTGTATATGACATTTCACGGGAGTATTTGGTATATTTTATAAATGAAATTCAAAATTTACGCATATATTCAAAACTTACGTCGCATTTCAAATCTCGGTCCGACTTCCTCCAACTCAATTTCACCATGTTCATTCTTCGAATATTCGTGATGTCGAAAACTAATAAAATCATCATCATTGCTGAACGTCATAATACGGCGACTCTCTGGTTTGGGTACAGGAAAGAGATACTTCAAAATCGACGTAACCTGAAAGTGAACAAAAACCAATCGGTGCCAGATAACACTCAAGAAAAGCTCAAACCAACCTCGGTAATATATCAGTCACAACTTCAGAGTCAGCAGTATCTTCAAGAGTCTGTTTCGAAGAAGTCATTGCAGATAAACGTTTATCAAAATAAAAATTAGTCATATNATGCTAATAACTACAAATTTTTTCACCCTCACAGCAAGATTATCACAAGCATGAGACTAGGAGAATTTGTGGATTAATTGAACAGTACTGGTACTAACCCGCAATCCAAGACGGGAGTTGAGATTATTGAAGATGAGATGCGGGTACACCATTGAGATAGTTTTACGATCGGGCACATCATGCCTCATCACCACATTTGAAAGATTGAAATATGCGGTTGGACCAAACGGTAAATGACACACGATAAGGCCGTCTGGTTGGCCGCGTGTCTCATGTATCAAGATAAAATCTGTTACCTGCAATAACCACAAATAAGTTTGAAATGAATTTTGAATCAGGACCGTTCCGAAAGAGATTTTCTGAGTTATCATAAGAGCGATTATTTCGAGGTATTTGTACAGATGGTAAGAGAATGCAAAGTATGCAAATTTACTGAAGCATACACAATCAATGTTCTTACGTCGTTTGCTCTACATGCTTGAACCAATTTCCGCACATCGTAATGCCCCCTGTTGATGGCTTGTGCATTCGGTAATATTAAGCGGATTTCCTGAATTCACAAACGAATTTTACTGTCTGA